GATGCATTACAGGATGAGTGTATCGACTAAATATCAATCACTGCAATAATGTTCACTTTCCCATCTCCATTGTCCCCATATACATTCACCATAACACCATGTCCACCATATTTACTTCCCACCATCAAAACACACCATGTATCATATATTATACATTAACCGTTCGCTTGCTCTCACAATTATTATTATTATTATTATTATTATTATTATTATTATTATTATTATTATTATTATTATTATTATATTATTATTATTATTATTATTATATTATTATTATTTTTGTTGTTTTGATTTCTTTTTAAGCCCTTGGATGACATGTGCCTGAGCAAAAAAATGTGGTGCCCCTGCACCTTGCAGGCAATGGCGAGCATGCACGCAACTACAACGTTTGTTTGAGTTCCATTCTTTTTGCACACCGAGACTTTGCCATTCCTGCTAGTTGAGCTTCCCGCCTTGCAGAAGCACCCTACACACCCATGGCGCACGTACCATCTTCACATTAGGATGGCCAACTGCCTGTTGGCACTTCCCTAGACTTCAAACAAGCTTGTCATCATCATCATCATCATGATTTTTTACAGAACAAGGCAATGAGGTAGCCGTCAGCTTCCTATCCTAACAAGCTTGTCACACCCAGCCACAATACAACAAATAAATTCTGAGTCAACGGGTTCAACCGCGCCCCTTTATGGCTCAGGGCTGTGTTTGCTAGCATGCTCGCGGTACACACGCCCCAGCCCCGGTTGTATTTGCTGCTGCGCTCGACCATTGTCCAGCGTTGACCATGGCACGGGTGCTCGGGATTGCTTTAAACCGCTGCGTTGATGGCGCAAGGTGCACAAAGTGTTGTGCGTGGTGCTGCCACCACGTGATGGTGGGAGTGAGCGGCGCCCTGCAAGTTGCCTGGACAGGCGGCGCTGCACCTCAAGTGCAGGGGAAACACTGATTAGCGCAGGGGTACTCTGGATAGCGCCCAGCACGTTACAAATGTTGACAAAAATGTTCAATACCGGGGCTCGCTGTCCCCCGTTCTCTACAGTACGTACTGTATGTACTGTATGTACTGTAGATGTACTGCTGGGTATACCCAGCAAGCCAGCTCCACTTCATGCAAAGGCGGAGTTGTCCTTGTCACTTTTTACCTTCCCTGGTATAAAGAAACCCAAACTGGTACATTTACGAGAAAAGGAAGAACTCATCACTTCCCCTTGCACCTTCAAAAGGCAATGTTGAACCTATGTCCATCCACAGAGCACCTTAATTTACTTTCCAAATTCTATATCTTGCAAAATCTGAACTGAAAGACTGCGCCATGTGCTGTGCAGCAAGCGGACTCAACCAGATAACGTGGAAGCTGTAGCTGCGCAATTGTCACACCTTGTGATAATTCGTAGCAACTTGGAGGCTGAAAGCCAGGGTGACGGAAAGAGGACATGCCTGCCAGATGCCAGAGATGCAAGGTGCTTGTCTGTATAATGTTTCCGTGTTGTTCTGTTTTGCTAGTCCGGGACATCACACAATATGGTATTCTTGTCACTGCCTTCATAACACCTGCCAAAGCAAAGCCTTTGCACCAAGTTGGGGGGACATGCTCCAAATACCACTGCAGTGTTTGCTCCTTCTAGCCTGTTTTTGCCCCATTTCGACTGGGCCAAGAATAGCCAACCTAGATCTCCACAAAGGGGAAACATGAGAAACACGGCACAGAGAGTGTCGTTGTCAAAATAGGTGAGGAGACACTGTACAAAGGGCACCACCCTCCAAGCAAGGCAATAGCATGGTGACCATCGGAAGGGCACTATCTTACCGCAGGATGCACCTGTGTCCAATCGCCACACATGTTTGTCGTGTGATAAATCGAAGATTGAGGGTTAGCCTTGTGTACCCGCTGTGGATCAAACGCTACATGCTCGAAAGTGGAACAACACATAAACGATGCTGAATGTTTGGTGACATTGCAGTACTTTTATTTGGTCTGAGGGTTCAAGGTACACTAACTACTGAAGATGCCATGGTTTCAGCGAAAAGACAAAGTGCTGGTTGGATGCCCAAAATGAGCTTCAGTGTGCAGAACGCTACGTTGCCATACCTCTTTTTCCCAACTGGTTTCCTTGACCACAATTGGAACAGGTGACCCGTTACGGGTACTGAGCTAGACATGGCATTGAGAGACCAAATGCGTTTTCTTTGCTGTTCAAGCAGAGAGTGATGTCGCAGTTCTGAACGACAGGGCACATGCACAGATCGGGCCAGGAAGATCAGAGGCAATGGCACAAGACAAGTGCTATAGGGCTGCAACTTGTGCCATATTATACTCCAAAGTATTGAGCGTGGGTCAATATTGGGAATAGAGAATGGCAAACTTTGCCTTTAAGGCGCAGCCCAGATGCAATTGCGCCCAGTGACCCTGTCAGTGTTTGTTTACAGAAGAGTGCATAAGGGACAGCAAGCTGTGTGTCTCTGATACAGCATATGGGTTCCATGTGCTGTATGACTGTTCACGGTGCACTGTCTTGGGGAACGTGGGAGGCCACCTGCCTGCGTAGCCACAGCCAGCATATGCACTTGTGTGTTTGGAGGCTCAGCACTTGTACTTATGTCACAGTGACTTGCGATAGTCGTGCTGCAAACAAGAGCCATGAATTTCTGCATTCTTTGCAGCCAAAGAAAACAGGAGGCAAGCGACTGGAAGGATGGAATTGTGGTTGTCGCAGACCCTGTGCTTTTTGCAATTGAGAGCTTTGATGGATATTGGATGACAGGTTGACATGTACTGATAGCTTCACTGAGTTTTGTTTCAACACTGGGTACGTCAATAGGAGGGATAGGCGTTTGGGCGGAGGATCAAGGGAATTTCGGCCTGGACAGATTCTGAGACTGGTAAGTCCACAATACAGACAGCTTTCTGGCACTTGTCCTCATTGAAAGACCCTGAACCAAACTCTTAGGAGGAATGTATTATGGCTGAGCATGAGCTGGATTGGCATTGGGAATGACCAAACTGTGCTTCAGGTGTGGTTTATGGCAGTTGGCTGAATCCAACGGTACATCCCACACAGGTGCATGTGGCTCAGGACCCGTGCACTCAACGTGTGCCTTACAATTGCACCGGCAGTTCGTGGAAAGGGCAATTGCACATTTGCGGTGCTGATAGCACAAGTGCTTGTGGATTTTCCTTGAGTACAGCCTCAAATCATGAAGAATCTCATGAATCATAGATGGGACCAGCATTGTCCACCCGATCCAAAGAGCTTTGCGACTGCACGGGCCTTGTCCCAGAACTCCTCGTCAGCTGCGGTTGCACCCTCCTGCGAGGCGTCCGCGGAACGTACCAACTGGGAGAGACCCTTTTCGCCAAACCCCTGGCAGGTTTTGGCACACTGGATGCGAATCCAGAAATCGCTTTTGGCAACGCTTCAGAAGTGCAAAGTACTGCGGAAAGTACAGTACTGGAGTAGTACAGTGCAAAGCGCAGTGCAAAGTACTGGGGAAAGTACAGTATTTTGATTCGCTAAGCGGGGCAAACGCTACGGTCGCGGTCATTGGGGTTTGTTTGGGTGCCAGACACCCGCCGGAAAAAAAATATTGTAACGCACTTGGGCCAGTGTGGATTCGGGCGGGAAAAGGATCCCGTCAGGCAGAAATGAATTTCTTAGAATCCGAGTCAGCTTTCTCGTGTAACATTAGGCCCTGTGACATGGGGGTTACGTGGGCGTGATGAGTGCGTGACCAGCGTTGCGCTGCCAGATTCGGCATCCGTGCACCTGTGGCGGTGCGAGGCTCAACGCCGCACACCGCGGCCCCAGCCTGCCGTTGGAAGCGGCCCATCGTCCAGGGGACGGCAAACTCGGCCACCGCGGCCTCTTTTTGATGTGGCACGTCAGCAAAATGGCGTGCGTCATGGCGGGAGGCCGCCCCCAAGAAGCAGTGCCCTCGCGCGTCATAGAGCACTTTGGATGTGGCGCAGCATCCACGCGATGGCCCCTCCTCCAAGCGGCCGCGGCCCGCTGAATTGACACATCGGAATGGGCGGCCATGCGGTCACCGGGTTCTGTTTTGCTGGCCCGCTCAGCAGTTGCGTCATCCGGGCAGACCGCCTTCAACAAGAAGTGCCCACAGGCGTCACTCAACCTCTTCTGGAGGCGGCGGCCCAGCGTTTCGGCGGCAGCCTCAGCGGCTTCCGGGTGGAGGCGTCAGCGGACGGCCTCAAGGTCCCGCAGCAGGGCGTCGACTCCACCGCGCGGGCTCGCCTGAGCGCTGCTGCCAGGCGGGCGCCTCCCTTCTTGAAGCCATCGGTGGCGCAAGGCCGGTGAGTGAACGCCGGCGGGAGGGCTGGCGCACGGCCGCGAGCCGATCATGGCGTTGGGGGCGTCTGGACGCGCGCTGGCCTGGTTTTTGTGGGTGTGCGGCAGCGATGGCGGCTTGCACGGATTCTGGCGAAGCACAGAGAATGGCACCGTGTTGTGGAATGGCTCTGCGGGTTCTCGGATCTTGTCGGAGCCGCGCTGTCTGAAGGGCTCCCCCAAGTGTCGAGGCTGGTCAGTCGCCACTGCAGGGTCCTTGTGGAATTCCCTGCTCAGGGGTACTGTGCGTCGCTCTGGCGGGAGCTCGTCGATCGCATCGACGGCACCGCTCATGCCAAGCTGAGAGGCGCGGCGAGGGGTTCCCACACCTGGCCACCCGGAATTGCATCGAATTTCCGTCGTCGCCTGCAGGGAAGAGGTTGCGCGTTTGTGGTGGTGGTGGTGGTGTGTGTGTGGGTGGGTGCGTGTGTGTGTGTGTGGATGGGTGGGGGGGAGGACCATGACGTTTCGATGGCGATCTCTGTGCCCTGTGTGCTGTGCAACGCGTCTGGGAGCAACCCTGCCCCGCTCCTCCCTTGGCGCCTGCCCGGGAGTGCTCTTTTGAGTGGCGTCTCGGTTCTGAGCGGAGATGCGCTTTTGTTGCGCTCAGGTGTTATCACCTGGCCGTTCGACGAGGCCTTCCCGGCGCCCTGGGCGATGGCCAGCACCGGCGAAGACACCGATGAACATACAACAGAGGATGCGCGGTGGACGTTGATGGCTCCGGATGCCGGCTGTGTGGAGGTGTGGTCGCCGCGGTCGAATCGTTGGAAGCGCGTGCACGTGCTGGCTCGGATGGACCTCAGGTGGATCCGCGCCAAGGGCGACGGAGCCCTGCCAAAGGACACCAAGGCCTGGGTGGGCAAGGGGTATAGCATGGCGCTGGTGCGGGGCCGCACGGAGGTGATCCACACGGAGGGGGACTGCCAGTGGGCGGTGCAGCTTGGAGAGGACAAGCAGGAGTTCAGGGCGGAGACCGCGGACGATGCGGCACAGTGGGTGGCTGCGTTGCGGTGGCGAGTGCGGCCGTGGATCGATCTGCTGAACAGTCGGGTGGGCGCCGGCGTTGGACTCCAAAATTTGCCGGAGAGAGAGCCGACGGGCTGGCCCCTCCGCGCCCATCAGCTGGCCACTGCCCAGTCGGTTGTCGGCGTGCTGAACACCGCCGGAGCGATCGCCAAGGACGCCCTGGGCACCCTGCCCGTCGTCGGTCCGGCCCTGTCGGTGCTGGGCTTCGCCCTCGAGGTGGCGGGAAGTGTCAAGTCCGATGTGGAAAACCTCCAGCCGGCGCGAACGACGCTCGCGCGAGTCGCGGAGCGCACCGTGGAGACGCTGCAGCGTGCTGTGCGGGGCCGGGCAGAGAGCCGGTTTGAGGAGCTGTCAGAGTTGCTGGGTGTGATAGAGGAGGGCGCCCGACAACTCGAGAGTTTCGAGTACCAGTCAACGGTGCAGATGACCGTACATGGCATCTTCAAGGGGAAACCGGGGCCGTCTGCAGTTCTGAAGCTGGCATCAGAGTGCGAGCTGCGGTTGTCAGCATACGAGCAGCACGACACCAACAAGGCTGTCCAGGACATGCCAGATCGTTTGGAAAACACATGTGAGTTGCAAGGAAAAGGAGAGACCATTGCGCAATCAACAATGGAACACCTCTCCAATGTTTTGAGAAATGCAAAGCGCGATGTGGAAGTTTGCGCGAGCACTTGCTTCATTTCACTGTTGCCTGTGTCCATCAAGATGAAAATTTGCAGTCGCCGTGCCTTGGCTCATGTCGATGTCATGCAATTCACTTCTGCCGTTGACCACACAAACTGAAGTTGGCATATGTGGGCGTTGATCTGGATTGTCTCACAAAGACATGTTGTTGTGCCTCCCCTCCCCAATTGTTGGTGCTTATCCCTTCAATCTTGGCCATCTTGTTGTGTGGAAAGGCACTGCACTATAAACCTATGGTGCTTATGATGTGATGGGCATCGGGTCCATATTGACAAGTGTACTTTCATTGGCATGAAATTTGCTTGTACCCTACCCCATTCATTGGCAAAGTGTGTTGTTGCTCATTTACCATTTCCAAGGTCACACCTGTTCTGCACAAAATCTTCATCTCAAGGAGAGCACATCATTACACAAGTGTGCCACGATGATGCTGTCTTGGATAGAAGACGGTTTGCAGTTTTGTATGGTAACATTGTATATGTGTTGGTATATGGCCTGTGTATTGGTATATGGCCTGTGTGTTGGTATATGGCCTGTGCCTGTGAAGCCTTTTGTTAGTGAATTGTGGATGGTGCATGTTTGCAAAAGCATGTAGATTTATTGTATATGTGTTTGTATAGTTGTTGTATCAATGTTGGCATGTGGTGCATTGATCAGTTCATTTGCTAAATACAATGTTGATGGTAGTTGTGCTATTGTTGTGACCAGTATTGCCAAGAATGGTGTCAAGGGTAACGTCAAAGGTAGCATCAAGGGTAGCATCAATTGTGCGCAAAGAGGGTACTACTCTGTCTCATTGTCTTCCTAATAGTGTGGAGGCAGTGGGCCAAGCTGTGCAGGTATCCCTCATCACGGGAATTTTGATGGGCAGTGAGAATACCTACGTGGCGCTCTTGGGCATGGGCGGGGTAGGGAAGACCACACTCGCGAGGTCGATTGTGAATGATGAGCGGATCAAAGCCAGGTTTGCAAAAGATGAGAAAACCGGTTGTCTTGGTGTGGTGTTCATCACAGTGTCACAGCAACCTGATATCTTGCAGTGTCACAAGAGAATATGGGAGGCTTTCGTGGGAGAAAAGGTGGAGTTTTGCAGTGTTGAAGACGGCAAGTTGCAGTTGCAAGGAAAATTGGAAGGCAAAACGTTCCTCCTTGTGCTTGATGATATGTGGAATGTGAGGGACATGGAGCACCTAGATGTTGCATCAGCAAGTGGCCGTGTGCTTGTTACTTCGCGGGATGACAAAGTTGCCAAAGTTGTGCATGCAAGGTGCCATGATGTCACTTGCTTGGACAGCAAAGAGTCACATGAATTGTTCTGCAAACATGCCTTTGGTGAAGACAAGCCAAAGAGGTGGCAATATAAGCATATAGAAGCCATTGTGGAAAAATGTGGGGGCTTGCCACTTGCGTTGGAAATAATGGGGAAGGTGGCAAACAACATCAGAGCGACGGGGGGCCGTGAGGAGAAGGACATGTGGAAGGATGCCGTGGATGCCCTCACAACAAGCTCATGGTTCCAAACAGCTGTGGCTGATCGCGTGTTTGGTGTAAGCTTCAACAGGTTGGGCTCTGTGCATCAGAGCGTGTTGCTCGACTTGGCAACACTGCCTGAAGACAACCGCGCCATTGTGAGTGATGAGGCAGAACTACAAAAATGCCTAGGAAGATGTGCTGATGAGCGCAAAGTGCGACAAGTGTTGAGGGACCTTGAAGATCTGGCGTTGATCAAGCAAGAAGGACAAGATACTTCGGACATTCTGGAATTTCAACCCATTGCTGGTGGGGTGCACTATTACTTGCATGACGTTGTCCGTGATTCTGCTCTCCATATTGTCGACACTGAAGAAATGTCAAGACGGCAGAGGTTAGTGTCATCCCATTTGAGACACAGCAGTTGCAAGGATCAGCCACTGACGGCAAAGAGGTTTTCTGCGAGTCAAAGAATTGAAATAGACCAGTCACGGGCCTTGCAGACTCTACACATGCCTGAGTTGAAGGCTCTGGTGTTGAAAGATGCAGGGATATCAGAGCTGCCACCATCGCTCTTGGCAAGCCATTTGTTGGCAATTGACCTGACGTCCTCGGGCATCGTCGAATTGCCGTCACAAATATCATGTCTGAAGTTTGCGCAGCTGCTCAGGGTGGATTATTGTGAAAAGTTGGCATGTCTTCCTGTTGAAGTCGGTGAATTGGTGCAATTGAGAGTGCTGTCCATGAGGGGTTGTAGAAGCATTTGCGAAGTTCCTGCATCCCTTGGAAATCTGTCGCTGCTGACCAAGTTATTGATGCCCCAATGTGGTGTTGCGCACTCCTGGCATCCCGACATGAAAGCATGGCACAGCTTGACCATGTTGGACTTGAGCAGGTGCACTGGCCTCAAGGAGCTGCCTCCGAATTTCGGAGATTTGACAAGTTTGACTGCGCTGAATTTGGGTGGCTGTTGGCAGTTGACAAGTTTGCCTGCTAGCATTGGTCAGTTGGGTCAGTTAGAAGTGTTGATATTGCACAAGTGTGACAGCCTCGTGGAACTGCCTGGCACTATGACAAACCTTTCTAATTTGCAAGAGTTGGATGTCCAACGATGTTGGCGATTGATGGACATTCCTGATGCCATCGGGAGCACATGGTTGGAGTTGAGGATTCTGAGGCTCCAAAGGAATGAACACATGGCCTTCCCACTGTTTGTAAAGGACTTGGAATGTTTGGAGGTGTTGGGCATTCCACAGGAATGCATGATTCCCGAAGGCCTCGAGCAGATGCTCCAAGACCTCGACATATCACTGGAGCGGCAGGAAACGAAGCTGTGTGAGCACAGGATCTATGACTGGGTGCGTCACAATTGTGGGGCAGTCGCCTAATTGCTGGTTGGTAACATTGGATGTTAGCTTTGTTAGACTTTCTTGTTGGAAATGTGGTGCATGGTGAAAAATGTTGTGGCTGCGGAGCAGGACGAATACACACCTCTTCATTGGGGTGCAGGGTGGGGCATGGACAAGATGGTCGAGTTCCACTTGAGTGCGACAGATGTGGATCTTCAGGACAACGGGGTAAGTCCTGGGATGGCCAACAAGAATGCTTGTACAGTGACAACAGACCTGGGTGAAACATTGTCTTGTGTTTGATGGACTGATGAGGTGCAGAACCAAATTGGTTGTGTGCTTGTTTCATCTGGCCATTGCCTGATTTCGGACACAGTTGTGTGCGAATGCTGTTGTATATTTTACACATGCCTCATCCTTGCATTTGCCGCAGCAGGAGGTGGTGTTTCCAGAGCTGACAATTGCCAGCAGGACATGAGAACAGAAATGTCCCCTTGGCAGCTTGAAGCCATTGATGGTCACAGTGGAGGGGTCATGTTTGTACTTTGTGCTGCCCTTCCATCCACACCAGGCAGCATCAGGAATCATCTTCTGGTTGTCCGAAACGTGCACAGCACCACAATCACAATCAAGCGCAACCACGCAAGCACCGAAAATGTGTGCCTCCTTCAGCCAATCAGTGAATGCAATTTTTTGTAGTGCAATCTGTGCACATGCTTTTATTTAGTCTAAACCCTCTGTTCTGAGCCCTGTTGCTGACTTGAAGTCCTCTTGCACCAGTGGTGTGCTGCTTTTAAGGAGCTTAATCACCAAACATATTTCAGAGTGCTGTTATATTGCTTTGACTCTTCCAGGAGCCAGGTGTCATGCGCACCTGGGCTTGCTCGTTCGCTTGGATGCTCCAGGTGTGTTGGAGATGCCAATAGAGTGCCTCCACCTATGGCAATTTGAACTGTAACCAAGTTGCCTGAGATATCCAAGTGGCAGTGCACAATGTACTGCACTCCATGATGCACCCGTTTGAACTGTCCAAGATTGGTGTGTTGGAGATGCGAATCGACACACGCCGGTGCTAGTCAAGTGCTTCGGGTCCCTGGAGCCCTTTGACGTCCTTTGCGTTGTGTGTGATGCACAGTACGGCTGGACGGCCCTCATTAATGCAGCAGAAAATGACCACACGAGCACCGTGGCGCTGTTGTTGGAAAAGGGCGCATCGGTGGACCAAGTCGACCAGGTGAGAAGGCATTGCCTGGCTTCTTTCTCAGCAGGGCCTGCATCTGTGCACGTGCTTGTGGTTGTCGCAGAACACGAACATTTAGTGCCTTGGCCTGCTGGGGACTCGCGTCTGACTGCTTCTGTCCTGTTGCTTAGTGAGGGCTGTGCCGGTCACAGATTCTGCACTCACCATCCCTCATTCTTGTGCGCATCCCCCAACCGCACTGTGTACGGATGCCCTGCGGATGTCAGTGTTTCCTGCAGCAGTTTGGGGCTACAAGTCCTGGTGAACACCCTGAAGTGGCCACAGATCTGTGTGTTGACCTGGTCAAGTTCTGCAACCTGTGTGCCATTGCTCAAGGCATTGCTGCTGATGGTGGAACGATCGTGTTGGGCTGTTTGTAGATGCCATCTTGTACTGAAATGTAACCAGGATGCCAGCCATATGCATGTCAAGGCTTTGCGGCTGTGGTTGCTGGATCTGAAATGCTGAATATGTGTGCAAAAAAGGTAGAATTTGCCAAGTGGCTTTCTACTTAAGTGCCATCAACAACAGTGTCACAGTCACGCACAGGAAGGAGAAACTCCTTTCATGAGAGCTTGTTTTGCCCACACGACATGCCTCATCCTTGCATTTGCCGCAGCAGGAGGTGGTGTTTCCATAGCTGACAATTGCCAGCAGGACATGAGAACAGAAATGTCCCCTTGGCAGCTTGAAGCCATTGATGGTCACAGTGGAGGGGTCATGTTTGTACTTTGTGCCGCCCTTCCATCCACACCAGGCAGCATCAGGACTCATCTTCTGGTTGTCTGAAACGTGCACAGCACCACAATCACAATCAAGCGCAACCACACAAGCACCAAAAATGTGTGCCTCCTTCAGCCAATCAGTGAATGCAATTTTTTGTAGTGCAATCTGTGCACGTGCTTTTATTTAGTCTAAACCCTCTGTTCTGAGCCCTGTTGCTGACTTGAAGTCCTCTTGCACCAGTGGTGTGCTGCTTTTAAGGAGCTTAATCACCAAACATATTTCAGAGTGCTGTTATATTGCTTTGACTCTTCCAGGAGCCAGGTGTCATGCGCACCTGGGCTTGCTCGTTCGCTTGGATGCTCCAGGTGTGTTGGAGATGCCAATAGAGTGCCTCCACCTATGGCAATTTGAACTGTAACCAAGTTGCCTGAGATATCCAAGTGGCAGTGCACAATGTACTGCACTCCATGATGCACCCGTTTGAACTGTCCAAGATTGGTGTGTTGGAGATGCGAATCGCCACACGCCAGTGCTAGTCAAGTGCTTCGAGTCCCTGGAGCCCTTTGACGTCCTTGTCGTTGTGTGTGATGCACAGGACGGCTGGACGGCCCTCATTCGGGCAGCAGCCAATGGCCACACGAGCACCGTGGCGCTGTTGTTGGAAAAGGGCGCATCGGTGGACCAAGTCGACCAGGTGAGAAGGCATTGCCTGGCTTCTTTCTCAGCAGGGCCCGCATCTGCGCACGTGCTTGTGGTTGTCGCAGAACACGAACATTTAGTGCCTTGGCCTGCTGGGGTGCGAGTTGTGCGGTGGATAGTGGGACGCGATTCCCCATCGTTGCGCCGGCGATGACGGCGCTCCCCAGCGCCAATGGCCGCAGCAACGATGGCTCGGGTCCCAAAACTCAACAGTCGAAGTTGCATCCCCGCGGGAGGGCTCCCTCCGGCGCAAGGAGCTGCTCCGTTTCCCTGAACGCTCTCCGCTGCGACAGCCATCGGCACGGCGATGGCGGCATGCGAGGCAATCACCGCCCACCTCCAGACGAGGCGTTGAGGCCCCTAGGCCTAGGAACGAGTGGATGGGTTTATTGCGGAGATCGGTGGCGTGGGTCCCGCCCAGGCCGATGGGCGTGCTTGAGCGCGAGCACAGGGTGGGGTGAGCGACTACAGCTCGCGATGTATGCGACAATGATGAACCGAAACTGTCGAATGTGATCCGGCATCCGTGCGTCGATTGGCCAATCTGGCTGCAGGGGTTGTTTTGCGATACAAAGGTGCGGGTGGAAACGGGATCCGCGGGAGGGCTTCCCCACGATTTGTTGTCAGCGAATGACATCAATTGCGCAACCCAGCCACCGAGTGAGCAGGCTCTCAACAACGGATTAAGCAGGAACGAAAAAGTGCAGAACGTCGGGGCCGAAGGCCCGACTTCGGGACTGGTACTGTCCATTGCCCGGGCAGTTGGAAATATGTATATTTTTCTATTTTCAAAAGTTTTTTATCCAGGTAACCGTATTCGGGTGCGTGCCCGGCAGGGAAAATGTCGCCCCCTGCACAGCGCTGGCCTCGCCGGCACTGCTTGACAAAGTCGGCGATGCTGACTCCGCACCTCGGCTGACGTTCTTTTCTGAGGAGCGCGCGCCATTTGGTCGACGATCAGGCTGACGACCAGAATCAGGACGCCACCGAATGCCGCAGACAACGGCAGCTCCCATGATGGCGCCAGGAAAACAAGAGCGGCCGCAAAACAGCCGTGGCAGCAAACAGCAGAAAGGATACATTCCCCACTCGTTCCCGACAAGCAGGCACAAACGGTCACAACCACAGAACAGAACAATCACAGAACGGCCACTGAACAGCAGAGACAGGCAGCCGCAGCAGCAACGACGAGGACCCCCAACGCAACCGTTGATAGCCTTTGGGCGCGCCGTCCCGCGCACTCCGTACGTTTCACATTGAAATGGGCGACTCGTACCGAATCAATACTGCTGGCTGCCCCAAGGGCCACCCTTGCCGCCTCAGCCGCTCCATCGCTTGCCGGTGACCGTGCAGCAGCGTGGTCGGTGTCCCGCCTCGTCGGATCGCTCAATTCCAGGTCGCCAGCTGGTCACCTAGATGGTCTCTAAATGCGCGGCCGGTGGAAGAGAGCGGGGGAGAATAGGCACCGAGCACGACCGCAGATGCACCCACACCTGGTGTGGATGCGATGACCTCCCCGTGAAACGACCGTGCGTTGGGGAAGTGACCAACGGTCAACAATTTTTGCGGTACTCGGGTCCGTACCTGGACCTGGGTACTGGCAGAACCCGTATAGTCTGTGTGTCCGCCCAGGCCCAGGTATGCACCGGCACCTGCCAGCCGGTTTGGGCGGGTACATGGATAGGCAGGTTCCCTGATAAGCGGGCTCAAGAAAACCACCAGCCCGGGTAGCCGGGTAGCATCCCTAACTCGAACGAGGGAAGTGATGTCCAGTGTGCAGTTAAGATGATGCTACGGTCCTTGCCACATCAATTCCTGTTCAAGGGGCACTGTGAAAGTAGCAACAACTTGAAATGTGTTGCCTGTATGCATGTCATCAATGCTACCCCGCTTGTGCGCAGGAAGGACGAACGCCTCTCATTAAGGCATGCCAGGGAGGCGATGGTGCCAGCGCTGCAGAGATTGCGAAGATTCTGTTGGACCATGGAGCAGAAGTAGATGTGGCCAACGAGGTAAGAAAACTGGCCTCCTTTGTGTATGAGTTCTGATTTGCGACATGCAACATCACACGTAAACCTCCAGGATTTGCCGTCAGCTTTTGCTTTTCTGTTGGCATTAAGTGCATATCTTTGTGCGAGTTGTGGAGAAGACAATATTTCTAGACATTCTTCAAACCCACATTGAATGGCAGTACTTCAAAATTTCCTGCAGCAATGTTTGGACACTTCGTGTGCTGCACACGTTCATCATTCTGAATAGCAGTCTATGTGAGTATGGGTGCCACAAATTATATTGCTGGACACCCCCTCGGCAAAGGTGGGACACAAGAAATCGACAGTTTTGAGTACTGCCAACTTTGTGTTTTGTTGCTCTGGTGTGCATGTGCTAAGAACACGGCTGCCATGCATGCGCCATTGCGGTGCACACAAAACACATTTTTCCACATTAGCGGCACCTTGCAGATGTGCATTGTTTTTGGTCGAACGTAGAAGTTATCAGCCAGTTCGAACTGAATTCAGTTCATGGGAACATTGAATTCAATGTCTAAATTGTCCTCTACATTATTGGGGTTGGAGAGGTACAATTGAAAGAATAAGCTATAGCAGTAACGCCGCGCATATTGCCACGCAACCACGGGAGATTGTAGGACCTTCCCAGTGCCTATAGCTGGCCACTTGGAATGGATATCCGAGTGGCACAACACGCTGCACTCGATGATGCACCCGTTGAAACTCGCTCGGGCCCAGGAGCAGCTATGTGCGATGGACACTGTTCAAAAGGCCAACAACAAGTAGCATTCACACCTTCAATGTTTCTGTGGAACAAGATGCATGTGATTGAGGAGCATTTGTGCTGTGATGTGCTGTGGATTGATGTGCTGGAAGATTAGTGGAGTGTCTGGTATTTTCATACAAATGTATGGATGTGATGTTGTCGCGGTTTGAAGGTCAATATGGTAGTGTGCTAACTTGGCAGGCTTAATGGTTCATTTAGGAAGATTCTTGACATCCTGATCCTCCATCTTCATTGGCTGTGCATCGATACTATATTCAGGACATTACTTGTGGCATTAGTAATGCCCCCCACCTCGAGTTCGAACGTGAAGTGGATGTGCTTGGTTTCTGTGAACTTTTGGCAAATTCACTGTGGGTCAGCTTGTGTCGGTTACCTGGTGTGAACAGTCACACATGCTGCACATAAATTTTACGGTACTCGATGCAAACTCTTGTGCCTAAAGTGCCAAAGTGCCAAGATGGGATGTGCTGTTGGGGCCGTTTCTGTGATGTTCAGCACCACTGGTGTGTGTTCAGCGCCATTGCCAACTGGCAGAGGCTGTGTGGTGATGTGTGGTAGCGAAAATTGGCCCAGGGCTTGGGCTGTTGGGGCCAACAGCCTTGTCCATACATCCAAACACACCACCTGAGGCTGGTCAGCCTGAATGTTGCACTCCTTTTCCTGTTCTGATTGTTGTGGGCAACTTGCAGCATGGCTCCACAGCCCTTGCATGGGCATCTGTAAGAGGCCATGACACCACAGTGCAGCTGCTGCTGGACCGTGGTGCACATGTGGACAGCATCGACAAGGTGAGCTTGGGAAATATATTGCCGATCCTGCAATGTCCAGTTGGAGCTTCAGAAGCGTCCACTTTCAGAAGCGGTCAATGGAATTGCAATTTGTCTTGGGGAATTGATTATGTATTGTTGATAGGGATGTTTCTGGAACGTGTAAATGCGCACTGCATAGTACCCGTTTGTTTCTGCTGTTGCAACCACCTGACGTCCTGGGAGCAGAATGGCAGCACGTTGAAACTGTGTTGATAGGCTGCCAATCCACAATGCCTACTTGCACTGACAGACGAGTGCGTTTTTGTGCCAACTGCGCATATGGATCTTCAGATGTGCGACAAATTGTGCAGGATGGCGACACGCCCCTGTCGGCTGCGATACTTGACAGCCACCCAAACACTGTGGAGCTTTTGCTCAAGCATGGGGCAAGTGCTGACTTGCGAAATGAGGTGAGATTGTCTTGTACTCTGTGGACCTTGCGCTATGATTGCTTCAGCATCTGCTTGGGTGAAGCAGTTATCCATTCAAGCGATGAGGGACACGTCAAAATGTGTCTCTCTGGGTTAAAACTGGGGCTCTCTGGACTATACTGTCGATCGTCCAAAGTGACGTGATGCTCTGGTCAGACATCTGTCACTGATGGGTACCAGCAACACATTGTATGCACACAAATCAGAGCAGTTTCTGACAATTCGACGGCAATTCTGGCCGTCTCTCTTCGTGTGCTCTAATAGTTCCCTTTTGCGCCTGTTGTTGGGCTGGTTGGCCTCACCCACAAGCAACCTTTGCATCTGTCGACATCCGCAACCAGAATTGGTATACTCCAATTCCTGGCAATCGAATCAGCGTTTCCCCTCTGCTCTGGTAATCTTCAGCTTCTGATGGACATCAGCAGTTCGTGAACTCAGTGGACCTGGTAGAGCTCCTAGTTATCTACTGCTTGGCTCCTGTTGATGTCTCTACCATCGGTGGATAACCTGAGGTGCCTGCGGTTTATATGATACAATGGTTTCGTGTACTCAATGCGCAGCTGGGAGCAACCCCTCTTCTACTTATTTGGCACAAGCAGTGGCAAGAGAAGACCGATGAGCGGACTGCTGCAGAAATTGTCAGGATTATGTTGGACCATGGCGCAGCTGTGGAGGTTCCAAACCAAGTAAGAAAAATCTATTTGTCATTTTACAACAAACTGCAGACACGTGCTCAATTGTGAACTTCATGCGGTGTAGCAGCTGATTGACATTTGCGCTCGAACTGGTTTTGCTCGTGTCACGTTGAAGTCATATCGGATCAGCTGCTGCAGGCCCGTGACTATCCCATCAGCACACAGTGTCTAGGTGTTCTCTTGATAGAGTTGTTTGGCGCGCTTCTGCATTTCCTGTCCATTTGTGCTGGGACTTTACATCTTACAGCCGCCCCAAATGCATGGCGGGAAGAGAACTTTTGGAGGCGCCCATCACGTTGTTGCCGATGTACAGGATGGCATAACTCCGCTGATGGCGGCTGCAAAGGATGGCCACACATCCGCTGCAGAATTGCTGCTGAGCAGAGGGGCTTCCGTGGCGTCGACTGACAAGGTGACACTCTGGTCGCGACGAGCTGAATGCGGCTTTGCGCCACAGATATTTCAATTTCAATATTTATTATTTATTATTTATTATTTAGATTATTGACCCATTTTAATATTTCAAGTTGAAAGGAAATGCTCTCTGTTTTGCTTTTCCTGCAGTGTGCAGAGGAGCGTGTGAGTTCTGCGGAAGCGCAATTTGCATGTGCAAACGAGTGAACATCCCAGCTGCATTTGACTCTCTGATGTCGGACGTTCAAACTCAATTGATCGATTATGAACAGTCGTTTGGATTCGGGCGCCCGAAGCCACTGTCTCCTTAAACGTTTTCAGACTATGTTCGGGATATCGCAGACCACATGCCAGAGGGGTGCAAGTATGCGTGCAAGCCCCCTTGGTGTCCAAGGACGTCGCAAGTTTATCGATTTGAGACATGGCGACGCACTCTGACATCGGCCTGGCCGCCTCGCTGGGTAGCGCTCACGGTTATTGGTTGTATTGCGTCATGTGTTCATCTTTTGTCACTGTTGGCTGCGCACAGGAAGGAAGAACAGCGGCACAGTATGCGAGCGCTGAGGGCCACCATGAACTGGCAAAGAAGCTGGGAGGTGGTGATTGATGTGAGGGGATTCTGGGTTGGTCACGATCATGGGGCTGAAGATACTGAAAAGTTCGCCTTGGTGTGTGAGCCAACTTGCGCCTTCTCCCAGGGAAGCGGCACTCGTGTTAGCATGTCGAATCCAAGCATTCCCAGTGCACTGCGACCGCTGGGTCTTGGCCATCGCTTCATCCAGAGAGGTCATCAGTTTGGACACGCCCCCCCACGCTCTCAAGGGCAGTCCTTGTGGAAGAGGATAGATGGGTTGGCGTGGGCCTGGTTCGCTGGCAGGCCATTTGCCTGTGGCCGTTTCCTTTCAAACCAGAAGCGGAGGGTCTGAGGGTTGACGTTTTGCGCCAACTTATGGCACTGGCAGATGTTGCTTCCGTGATTGGCTCATCCATGGGCACGGATGAGAGCAAGGACGCAGATTGAGCTGTGGCGAACAGTCTCGTGTTCACGTCCGCTGCAAGAATGGGCTGTGAATGTTACTGTGCAGATGCGCGTTGTGGGTGTCGTGGTGACGACACCAGCAAACAAGCATTGGTGCGACGTCCAAAGCCATCAGTCCACGATAGCCAGCAATTTGTTGCCTGGTAGAACGGGACCGGGCTGCGTGCCGCAGTGCTTGGGAGGAGTCAATGTGACTGACTGATTGTGAGGGAGCATGGCACGCGCGTCTCTGGTGGGAATGTCGGCGTCCGGCAATGGACTTACGAACCCACTGCCATCGGTGAATGATATTCCTGCACCCTTGAGTGAAAGGCTGAACCAAGCGGAACATTGTCACGACAACCGCAGCGCACTGCCTGCATAGGAGCGGTGCTGTTATCCAAATTCTGGGCCGTTCAAGACACGTACAAGCCCACCAGCAAGACCACCGCGCAGACCAGTACGTCGATGTGTCGACGATTGCTCCAGACTGGCGAGTTGGTGCCAGGTCGTGTAGCTATGACCAGGCTTGAAAAACAGACACGGCTGAAACAACAATACGGAAAGCACTTTTATCATGTCGTATTTTGAGGCTAAAAACACATTCCAAAATAAGGCACACCCTTGCGCAATTGCAACCTCGATGACAGACAAATTCAATCTGCCAGTATCCGCGCTCAACAATCCATGGCTTCAATGCTTACAGCCTCTCCAGCAACGCCTATTGAACGAGTGCCCAGTTTGTCATGATGCAAATTGGGCTGTAAAACGGTTCTTCTCGAGCTTCGCTCCTCTCACAGATTGGCTCAACTGCTGGCGATAGCCTGACTGACACGAATGATGACAACCAGCTGGGAATTTGCAACAGAACACTGCAGACCAGACGAGTCCCAGAATCGGACTTACACCCCCCGTATTGCAAATTGTGTGATTGTGTTCGATCAGTCAGGCGACTGTATGCGCAGTTGCATTCAAGGAAACGACTTCTTGGAGCTCCAGTCACGCTGATAACACCCAGGACCTGTCCGACTCACGAGTCTTGTGAGAGTGGGAGCAGCTGAGGGCAGACTGAAACAAAGGCATATGCCGACCACCAAGGACGATTACAGCTGGTCAAGGACTCATCAAACCAGCTCCAAAACAGCAGCCGTTATCCACTGAAACGCTTGAGAACGCTCTTCAGCACCTGGACAGCTCGTCGCTGCGTCTTGTCAGCGAAATATGACGCGAACGAGGGTCAGCTGGTCAACGACGTCGAACGGGAAAGAACTCGCAGCTCGGCGACAGGGCGACTGAGCTGGTCAGCCCTTCACCCAAGGGTCAACGGGTTTGCGACCCTCTCCCGTCGTCCCACAGCTCACGACGCACAGTTCAGGCCCTTTGTAGGGCGCTGGTGCTTGGCTGCGCGCCAATGCCACCCGCTTGCGCTCACTCGTTCACGAACAGGGAATGTCTTACAGCTGTGTCCGCCCACAACAACCCCGTCGTCGCTCCCAACAACACGCTGGAAGGCAGCAAACCCCAGCACCCACAATACTTATGGCACCCCAAGGTTTTGGGAATGCCCCCCACTCCTAAGGGTGCCACCTTCCAGCCTGCGAATATTCCCCATCAACACCCCAGGCGCACCACAGCCCCCTATCGGGTGCCGCGGCTCCGACGCTCGCCTCCCTCACGTCATTGACATCGTGCGAAGGCCACACGGCGCTCCCCACACGCCAATCACCCCTATCGTCATGCTAGGCCCTTCCGAGGTCTTGGGAATGGAGCCCATTCCTCAGAGTCCCCCCAACGCAGCGCTGACTCACCCACAATGGTTCCTGCTGCGTCCTATCACGATCAGACCGGATTGGCATACGGGAGACTCCCTTTCAATCAAATCACCATCACAAAATACTTGCTGCACCTCCCTGTGTCAAGCATCTACGCCAATCAATGTACTAACATAGTTCACTCCACCTCTCCTGTCAAGATCCATGTTTCTACTCCCCGTACATACACTCTAATCCTTTTTCTTCCTTTTTTCGCTTTGCTTTGCTTATCTTTGCCCAAATATACTAGAAAAGAGCTGTCTTTCATGGCAATACTTAATTTCATAATACGAGCTGCATATCTTCAATACTAGCTCTGTACAATTCACCATCCATGCACATTCCAACCACTCACAAAAATACTAGAAAAAACTGCCAAAAGTCGGTGAAATTGAAGCAGCACCGAACGTACCTATCCCTGCCAAATTTGTCCCCGTATCCACGCCCAGAACCTTGACTGACGAAGACGATCCGTCCGTTGCCGTTCAGTCTCCCCCACAGGAGGCTCTTTGGGTTCAACTGCAGCCCGTTCGAGTCGCATAGCTCCCTCCAGGAGGCCCTTTTCGATGCCATAGCGAGACCATTCCTTCGTCCAACCCTCCACTTCGCTGGGCATTCCTAAAAGTTGTCGCCAGCGCCTGATCTTCGCCAAGCGGGGGTCCTCGCTCACACTGGACGACGAACCAGCCATGCTGGATGCTTCTGGCAGTCCATCCCAGCCCGCTACATGTGAATTATAAATCCCATATGAGCCAGATTGTCATAACCACAAGAAATGTCATATCTTTCTCATTACTGATCCAAATGACCTGTCCTTGGCTCATGGGATAGAAGACCAGCTGTATTATCACGTCCTAAAATTTCATCTCATTCTGCCCACATCTTTCCACTCAAATTTGGATTCTTGAGATGAAATTTTTGATATCTCCGTAACCGCTCCCTCCCTGGAGCCCAAACTTCGGCACCGAATAAGAACTGTAACTAATTCAGAAGAGGTCAGAATGAGTTGAAAAAGGTACCAACTCATTACAAATCGACCACTGAGTACATAGAAAATGTCAGAAAAATGTAATGTCCTCATGTAGACTATAGTGAGTTCTGAAAACAGGTGCACAGCCAAGTCCAGGCTTGTTGGAAGTTTGAGCTGGTCGTAAACTACGCCGACACGCTCCCACGGTCGATACGCGCCCGATACTGGGCGATACTGCCCGATTCCAGCCCCACGTGGCGCAACGGGTGCCAGGTTGAGTCAGCTGGCGGCAGTACAGCCCTTTGCCCCTGGCCCAGCCTCCGCGTCCCCGTTCACACCCCGTGCCCCGCCGGCCTCCGGGACGGCCGCGTTCTTTCCCCTGGGCCTCCGCGGCCAAACTCCCCGTGCAGGACAGGAGTCAACCTCCCCGTCCGTAATCCTACCTGGTTACTTTTTCGTTGGAATGCGAGGATCGACCGTGCGGCTCCGTGAGCCATGCGCATTCGCGGTACCCGTGTCCGCCCGCATGGAATGGGGGGAGCTTTCTCTTCCCTCGCCTTCCGCTTTCATTCTGTTCCCGCAGAAATCAAGGCCTCCCCCTTGCCCGTGCTTCCCCCCAGCTACTTTTTGTTCGGCTAGTCGAGGTCGATAATCCGGCCGGGTGGATGGGATGGGCCTCCCGCGGCCCCATGGATGACCCTCGGCCGTCTGCTGCGATCTCGGGGCATTGCTCCGATGTCTCGACGTGGAGCTCCTCAGCCTATTCCTCTGAGCCTTTCTGTGTGGTTTTGCCGCACGCGCATGGGTTCCCGAGTCGTTCTGGGCGGTGAGGAGCCAACGGTTGCAGTTCCAGTACATTGCGGCCAGCGGAGGCTCACTGGTGCTTCCATGGTGTTGCGTGAGTTTCTGTTCGTGGCCAGCCGTGCTGGAGGGTGCTTCGCGCCTGCTTCGTGCCTACGGTGGCTACGCTGACAGTTCCTGTGGGCCTCCAGAGCGTCCTGGGCCCCTGTGACATTGTCTAGGTGCTGGGAAGGTGTTGCCGTTGGCGTTCTCAGTCATCCTGGGCCGAGTCTGGGCTACGTGCCACTGGTCCTGGCCCTCACGGGGCGCCAGCTGAGCGCTGCTAAAGGGGCTCTTTCTGTAATGTAATCTTTCCGCATTAATTGGCGCCCCGAACACTATGTTGTGACAAAACATCTCAAGATCAACCACACAAGTGCATCAGGCTAGCGCTGGCAATTGCCCGCCTGTTGCACACGCTTGGGCCAGAGCGCAGCGTGGACCATTTCAACGGCGTGTGAATTCAAGCCATCAGTATCCATGCCTGACAAATCTGCGATGCAGCTCATGATCATGCAAGCATGTTTTCTGCCCGCTCACAGCGTTGCCACGGCCCACATCGGCACCAAATAAGCTGCTGCCGGCCAAATGACAGCAACGGGGTTCACCGCCAACCAACACAACAACGTCTGGGGGGAGCGGTTGCATGTTGAGGAGGTTCGGCATCGCCGCAGGCTCCTCGCTGCATCCGCAGCGCCCCCAACTCCCCGGGTGTCCCCTGGAAACAACGTATTTCGTGACGGGCTGTGCTCGAAGCATGTTACAACATTACGCAGCCACGAAACTAGTGAAGGAGCACCTGTCCCGTTCAGAAAAGACAGCCTGACAGTTAAGGCTGAGAAAGGTGTTAGTCAGCGCCCGGTGTGACAGTGATACCTTGCACGTAACAAGTCACTATGACCAAGGGAAGGAAAGAAAGAATTGTCTGTTGTAAGCAGGTAGTAATCCGTGGAGGATTACATTGTAATTACGATTTGTTTGTATGGCTTAGTGTCTGACTTGCAAGATAACAGCAATCTACAGCTGGTCCATTGGGAAAACTTGGGGGGCCCCAAATCAGCTATGAGTATAGCCGAGTTCCGAGGCTGGGACAACTGGGGGGGAAATCTATGGGGTTCCAGGTCCAGCCCAATACGCAGTCGGGAAGCCTTCAGGGCTCCCACTGAAGTATTGAAGTAAAAGGCCAAAGCACTGAATTTGGAAGAGCATAAGCTTTGTATAACGATTGAGGTTTAGCAAGTGTGGCAAGAAGCACTAAACTGCTGGGCGTAAAGTAAACGACGTTCA